ATTTTGAATAAGTTAATTTTTTAAAATGTATAAAATCAATTGATTTAAAAAAAATCTCAAATTTTAAATTGAATAGAACTCTTTAAAAAAAAGTTCTATTTTCTAAAAAACATACTTTGTAGATGTGTAATTTGTAATTTTTATATAATAATTTAAATCAAATTCATTTTTTAAAGCTAAAGATTAAAAAAAACGTATGAAACGTGAGAGTTTTAAAGACTCACAATGTCTACAAACTTCTGTAAACCAATTAAAGAAGTTTAAAAAAATTTGAACTGCTTTTAACAAATTTAAAACCGTAGAACACATTAGCATGTAAGTTCAACTGCATTATCATATTAAATCATTTATTTGAAATAATTTTAAATTATTTTTGAACTTCCAAATTAGATAATGTGGAATTTTTTATTTTTTAAATAATAACTAAATCATTTTTTAAAGTTAAAGAGTAAACAACGTAACTTTTTAAAATTAAAAAAATATGAATTTTTGAATTAAATTAAAGCTCTTTTCTTAAAAAAAAAAAAAGTTACGGCGCTCATGGTTCAAAAATTTCGAAGGAGCTTTTATTTCCAAATAATTTTGAATTAGTTAATTTTTTAAAATGTATAAAATCAATTGATTTAAAAGAAAACTCAAATTTTAAATTAAATAAAACTCTTTAAAAAAAGTGCTTTGTTAACGGGTGACGTATTTCATAGCTTAAAGATTCAGTAGCCCGTTCATGTGATTTTCAACTGCTTAATTAATTTTCGGTACGTAAATTCAGACAGAAATTCTTCAAAATTTTTGAAATTTGAAATAGAACTTACTTTACATATTTAGAAGATAAAGAATAGATAAGGAAAATCGTTAAAAAAATTAAATATTTCAAGACAATATTTATATTATCAATGGATAGAGAAAACTTTCTCCAAATATAGTACCACGTAAAATGGAATATAAGTAAAATAATTAATAATAAAAATATTTAAATGAAATTTCAAAAAATAAAAAAAAAAGGACTTCTGTACTCCAATTTGTAATTTGGGTTTCATGTAAAGTATTTGAAACAGTAATAATAATGCCAATTAAAATAGAACAGATAAGATAATACGATCCAAAATCTAGAAAAGAAAAGTAAAATTAAATTTCGGTTGATTTGAATTTAGAAGTGAAAAATGTAGGTCAACATGGAACAAAACGAATAGCTTAATTGGAGAAGAGATGAAGCAAATTAAGGTTGAGATCTGTGTTGTAGTAAACCTTCTTGTCAGGGCCAACAATATGAAGAGCACGAGAAGGGACTTTTTGGCCAGAGGAATCTTTCTCATCTGGATCCACCATGTTCAGTTCCTTAATCAATTCTCTCTTCGGATCAGCAATTATTGGGTATGTCACCTTATGTCCATTCTGCCAAGTATAAAACAATACTATCAATTAATAACGATAAAAATAAAAACTGCTAGTACAACTCAAATGAAAATGTAGAAATTTGTGCGCGGTTTGTTTACGTTGTAAGCTTCGATGTCCTTGATCCACTCCTTGTGAAAATGAATATCATCACAAGAAAGTCCAAGAAGCTTCACTCCTCGTTCACCAAACTTGTTAGCGTAAGCAACCATCATACCAAGCTCCGTTGTACAAACTGGCGTAAAATCACCTGCATCCATAACAACGTCAAAAAGGGTTCGATCGAGACATAAATATATTGATGGGAGTGTGAATTAGACCTGGGTGAGAAAAGAGAATGGTATAGCTATGACCAACATAGTCATGGAGTTTCATCTTTCCATGAGTGGTTTCTACTTCCAGATTAGAAAGGTCATCTCCAATGGTGAGGCCTGGCATTTTTAATTTCTCTTCACAGATTTAACACAGTTGTTATATTTTCTGAACTACTTCAATTTTTGAGGGGAGTTGATTAAAAGGGTGTTGAAGCGTTGCTGCATGAAGAGAACGTGGCATGCGTCGTGGCTTCTGCACTTTGCCACTTTTATCACCACTTCCTTCTGCTGCTTCCACGTCCTTAGTGGTAGATTTCAGTTTCTAGTTTTGCTTCTTTAATTAAACTACTCGTTCAACTGCATTATTATATTTAAATTTTTATAAAAATAAAATTGTAATTCTAAATTCAACTTCCTAATAATTTGGAGCAATGTCTTAAAGTGGCAAGTGTCTTTTTAGGATTTTGCCACTTGGTTTCATGAGGGGCTTTTGTCTTCTGCTTTTAGTTATAGATAGATAAGTAAATGCATATGTTGTTTAGTAAAGGCGAACGACATTTTGCTAAGGGCTTTCGTGCTTTTAATATAATATAGATATAGATATAGATATAGATAGATAGATAGATAGATATAGATATAGATAAATAATGAAATTGATAGAAAAACAAAAAATTAATAATAGGTACACGCTAATAGTTTATTCTCAAAAAATTTCATTCTAAATTCTGAAATGACACTAGGTAACCGCTTGAGATAGCAACATCTAAAACATAGCCAGTATTTAAAATATCATTTTAAGTTTGGCCACTTTACTATGAGTAAATAAAATTTAAATAAAAATCCCTTAATACGAAAAAAAATTCACATCATCGGGTTTGAAGTTACGCTCTATCAAAGGCAAACTTCAGACCTTTAAATCAAGACTTAAGATATTTGGGACTGAATTCAGGCTTGCCAAACACTTACTTTAGCCGGAACATTTGAATTTAAACTACATTTAATTCTACTTCAAATCTTCGGTTGGAAGTCGTAGGGAAACTACACGGGAAAATAACAACAATAATATTTGTGAGCGGAAATATGTGAATTAACTTGAGTCGTGTTGGGCACTGTCCTAAGAAACTATTTCAGTAATGTGAAATGTTTCCCCAGGATTAAACAATCCCATCTCTAATTTATTTAAAGGATATAGGAATCAGCAAAATATTAATAATAAATCTAGTAAGTTTGGAATGATGAAATAAACACAGGTTATAAAAGAAATTGGAACACACAAAAGGCTACACGTAATTGAAAAAAGAGAAGGCTTGTAGTGATGATTACTAATCATTAGCAATCATGAGAGAGCAAAGTATTTGTTGGTATTTTCGGATGGTATAGGAAGTGGGTATTTATAGTTGTAGAATTGTGTAAGAAGATGACAAGTGTTCATCTATTTGTCAAAAACATTCCATGCAAAGAGA